GCTATTCATCCTTTTCATGTCTGCTTCCAATTCCCGACGCAGTGTTTTTTGGTCTTCATCTTTTCCGTTTCTCTTCAGGATTCCCGAGTTACGGCTTACTTCGTGATGCAGTTTAGTGATTTACTCGATGTGTTCTATCCACTTCCAGCGTCTTTTCTTAATTTCTACCTGAGCTGAAAGCTGGTTTGTTCTCTCTCACAGTAAGCTGTTGCTGATGGTATTCGGCCAACGGACATTCAGTATCTTGCGTAGACAATTGTACTATTTTGATTATAGTTATAGTAGTTCCCCAAATTTCAGCTCCGTACAGTAGAACTTCCCTAACGTTCCTACTAAAGATTCTGACTTTGATGTTGGCGGATAGTTTCCTTGAGTTCCATATGCCCTCCAACTATAGGAATGCTGTCCTTGCTTTGCCAATCCTTGCCGTTACGTCTGCACCGAATCCCCTTGTTCATCTATGATACTGCTCAGGTAAATGAACGTCTCCACCTCTTCCGGAACTTCACCAAGTGTGTTTAGGTTGATGTTCTCCGTGCTGTATTTGAGGATCCTGCTTTTTCCCTTGTGTATGTTGAGGCTTACTACGACACTGGCTGTCGTTACCTGCATTTGTTGCAGTGTATGGGATAGAAGAGCTAGGTCCAAATCGTCTAGTCGCATCCAAGCTGTCCACTTCTCTACGACCAATTGCAGCCTCTCGTGAAACTGGACTTTGTCGTCGTCATTGCTATCATTGGTGAGTGCATAACTTTCATTGTTATTTCCCCTTTCCTTGTCTTGAAGGATGTTTTGATGATTCTAGATTTATGAGATCCCCATCTCACAAGTGTTGTAAGTACTTCTTTAGACAGTGTCAGAGCAACTCTCTGCGTCTGTGGATCATTTTCCTCTTCATGGCCGGAGTACAGCAGTATCTCTCTTGAATTTAACCCTATCTGTTCAGCTTGAATCTAACTGGTTTCACTGATTCCGAGCACCACCAACTTGTATCTCTTCATTTTCCTAGCCATTGGATTAGTCATCTCGGTCTCCCACATTATCCGGACATTCCATTTACCTATATTAATTGTGGCTCTAGTTGTTAGAATGAGTATTGTCCTCGTGACTTCCGAAGAATCCTGGCTTTCACCATGAGGCGTCATAACTTCTGAACGGAAATCCTTCGACTCGGAGGGCAGAGTTTAAATCTTGGGGGTAGCGCTTTTTAACGAGGTTGTTTTCTGCTGGATGGGGTTGCCGATCTGACGCTCAGCCCTCCTCCTTTACCCGGGTTTGGTACCGGCAGTAGCCCTAGAAAAGCTACAGTTGGAGTTATAGAGGAACCAAGTTTATACTTTATGGTTTGAAAGCATTATGGCACTGGATGAGTTATATTTTCTGTTAAGGCTTTCATTTCCGTATGATTAAAAAACAGGCGACGATATCGCTTTTCTTATAATGACCCAGTTAGTGTGATAAAATATTTGAGTGGTTGAACAAATAATTTGCTTGCTAAACCGATCTCTAAAACTAAAAGAAAAAAATTCAGAACCTCTGACCAGCTGATAACGAGAATATGTTACGAAACTAAAGTCATTATTTATGTACAATTGCTCAGCCAAAGTAACCACTGAACGAATGAATAATCAAGAATAAGAATAAAGTTCAGAAACAGCCAGTGCTTATTCATATTTGCTGGTAACATCGCGAATACATTAGATCTGGACTGTTTGCAATTGTCTCTTGATTCAGGTTGTTTTTACGGCAGATTGTTGATCATCCTAGGCTACCTCAATATAAACATTTTTATATGGTTAGTTTTACCTTGACGTATTTTAGTGGCCCGTGTATCTGACTCCTGTTTAGATCGTATGAATGTTTGCTATCGCCGATTCTCGTATATCATCGTCGACTTTAATCACGTTAGTCAATAACGGAATTAAATAAGTCAAATAACGAGAATGGAATTTTGAATACATATATTTTGTATACAAGGTGAATGGAATAGCAGGAAGAGAAGCGATGCAGAGTGGAGATGGCTGAGAAGCCAACTCATTTTTAGTGAGGCGTTAACCAATATTTATAGGTAGACAAAAATAAGCTACAGACATGTGATGAATGGGATGGGAAGTGTACACACATATACGCTCATATAAAAACAGTCAAGACTGATAAGCGAATAATTGACAAGGTCAACATATGACTCAAGTAGAATGAATAGAATGGGATGTCCGAAAGCTAGAATAAGATATATAGGCTTAACAACATAATAACTGACACTACAGTATTTACCCTTGAAGGTCTCGTTGCACTTCTTTCCAAAGGCCGACACACAAGTTTATACTAGGGCATTTTTAGAGTCTAGACATTTCCTGTCGAGAGACCACTGGTCTTAAACCGAACATCTCCAATTACATTCATTTACTGCCGTAATGGTACCAGTAATGTCCAGGTTATGCAGTGTTTCTGCTCATGCTTAAGGTCGGTGCATGTTAAGAATACACGATCGTGACAGGCGGTCACCGTTACCTATCCGCTCAGCTAGGATCCCAAAATGCTTTTCTACATGCCTCTTACTTTCCCCACCTACTCGGGCTTTAAAATCAACCATGATTACTATCTCCGAGTGTTTGGGTCAGGATGCTTCTGATAGAGCTCTTCTATTTTGTCCATGCTGCAGTCAGCATGGTGAGGAGACAACAGCGTGTATCGTCATCTGTGAAAACTCCCATTGGACCTAGTCTGACAGCACATAGACGTCTGTCGGGCCTATTGCGAGGTTAACTGTTCCGCTATCAAAATTAGTTATGTACCTACACAGTGATGTCGCATTTTATATTTACCACCTGTTATTATGGTTCCTTGGATTCTGGACCGATGAGCTTGTAGTGGGGCGTTAGTCAGTAAGGGAATTAAATAAGTCAAATAACGAAAATGGACTTTTGAATATATATATTTTTCATATGAATCGAATGGAATAGAGAGAAGCGAGACGACGCGCAGTGGAGATGGCGGGTAAGCCGACTCTATTTAGTCGAGCGTTAATCAATACTTATAGTCACACAAAATTAAGCTACGAACATGAAATGAATGGGATAGGAAATGTACACACATATGCACTCACATAAAAACAGTCAGGATTGGTAAGCGAATAACTAACAAGGTCAAAATATGACTTAAGTAGGATGAATAGATTGGGCTGTTCGAAAGCTAGAATAAGGTATATGGGCTTAACATAATAACCGACACTACAAGCTATTTTAAAATATTCTGCATGGTTGATTTGGTCATGGAAGGTTGGACAGAATTTAGGGGCATAATCTAAGAAATGTGTTTTCGATTTAAGCCGTATCCGTAGGTGAAGAGTTCTTGAAATCGCAGTAGTCCTACTTCATTTCTGGAGAATTTGGATGTTTTAGTCCGGAATTATGTATAGATAAATTCATTGTACGTAAATTCATTCATATATCCTGAGTGTAAAGTCCCTCCATAATCCCCATTTCTTCTCTGAACTCTATGTTTCCAACATTCAGCTTCTCTTCGTAGGTAATAAGATTTCCCACCTCTGCTTCACATCTAGCGGACACCACTCTTGAAGTGTTGAAGTAAAGTGGTAACTCAGACCGACTCATATGCTACGTTTTACTGTCCCTGATTGTTTTCGGAGCGAGAAAAGCAGTTGCCATAGACATAGAGTTCATCGTGTGTGTGGGCTGTGATACTGCCCGGGTGCTCAAACCGAAGCAGGTGGTTATCTTAGGGGGCCACTCCCCGAGCCTTTGACCTAAAGGTCTGACCCACAAGGCAGTGAAGCATCGTAAGGAGATGCAATCCCATGGTAGCCGGTGACCAAAGGTTGGTTCACACCCCATTTGTTCCCGCAGGATACTGGAGCCCATGTGCACCATCGGTTTGTGATCCGGTTAAAGCGCCGGACATTCGCTTTTCGTCCTCTCATTTTCGTAAACAACACCCCCGCCACGAGAAGGCAATGAGTAGGACTTCCCTGGCAGAGGCTGTATACGCGCGGCCGTGTGAGAGCGGACTCACCCCACTCTCGGCCGTACCAGGGCTCTCTTGTACCAATATTCATGTGTCTAAATAAAATAAATTTTACTGTCCCTGTGAATGACTAATCTCACTTAAATTATGTTGATAAAGGTTTTCAGAAAAAGTTCGCTGAGATTTCTTGAAGTTCCACCTCTAACTTGGTTGCGCTGGGCTCTTTTGAAATGTTAGTTCCCGCGGTGGGTACGGAGGATCCACCTAGGGGAGTTCGAGAGCCCCACCAAAATGCCCTGGTACGGCCGAGAGTGGGGAAAGTCCGCTCTCCCTCTCGAAATGCTCTCACATGGCCACGCGAATATAGCCTATGCCAGGGAAGTCCTACTCACTGCCTTCTCGTGGCGGGGGTGTTGTTTACGAAAATGAGAGGACGAAAAGCGAATGTCCGGCGCTTTAACCGGATCACAAACCGATGGTGCACATGGGCTCCAGTACCCTGCGGGAACAAATGGGGTGTGAACCAATCTTTGGTCACCGGCTACCATGGGATTGCATCTCCTCACGATGCTCCACTGCCTTGTGGGTCAGACCTTTAGGTCGAAGGCTCGGGGAGTGGCCCTCTAAGCAAACCACCTGCTTCGGTTTGGGCACCCGGGCAGTATCACAGCCCTCACACAAATCAAATGAGATTTGTGTGACGCATATGTATTTGGCGCTTCATTGTTTGAGAACCCTGGTTCCGAACCAATGATGCACACAGGGTCCTGAGGGAAACTGTGGCATATTGTAGGTCACCGGATGCCGTGGGACTACATCTTCTAAAGTTGCTCAGCTGCCTTGTGGATTAGAGCTCTAAGTCAAAAGCTCGGGGAGCAGCCCCACCGGGCGCCCGGGCAGTGTTCCAGCCCTCACACAAATCGAATTACTGGTGTGGTGCATATATATTGGGTGCCTCCTTCACTGCACTGATATTCATGTATAACATGTATATCCTTAAAGGTAATTGTTTACTTCTGACTCTCGTTCAACTGCAAAAAGTGAATAGTAAATACAAGTGTATTTCTCCAGGTCATCTCGTAAAGTACTGTAAAACAATTACAAGCTTCTTTTATTGGGTGAGTCGAAATATTATTTATGTACTAAATTATTAACACAGTAGACACTTTGATCGCGTTAAATTTCGACCTATAACAGTGACATCAATGTTGAGTAATGTCAGTACTAACAGGTCAGTAATATATTTACAAATCCATCATGAAACTTGAAATTTCAATATTTGTGGGAAATATTTCACCCATCTTTGAACGGGAAAACATTATGACGTCAATTTTAGTAAAGATAAATACAGCAGTGTGTAGAATTCTTACGACCGACCATACTTTTTGGGCTTCAGATTCCTCTGTTAAGGTTCTTGGTCAGTATTTGTATATATTTGGTGCTATCTTATCCACTTTCGACAAGTTAGTAAGCAAGTTACTCAATAGGATAGCCAACGGAAAGATAAATACATTTGGAGTACATACTACTTAAATTAGAATCATTTTTACGCAGTTCAGTTTTGGCATTTATCATTACACTGAATAGTAAGATACAGTTTTCAATTATTCAAAGACGGCAATGAATATTATACTGAATATGGTAGCAAATTAAACTAATAGATTAGAACGCGTTTATGAACAGGTTTATTGATTAGTCATTTTAAAGTAGTCTTCATAATTGACTAATTTAAACCAGTGGCCACAATAACACTGAACTGGATCGCCTTTTTCTAATTCTAGCCAATTGATAGCGTCCGCTTCCGGTTCACCTAAGGAAAAAAAGTGATCGTAAGTTTCAAAAAATTTGTGCTAAATATATAATTCAGTAAACCTCAGAATATACCTTAGCTTTATCTAACCCGTCAAGGCGTGTTTAATATTTGGCTATAAATTAATTTACGGAGACATTTATTTGTCTAACCATACCCGAAAAGTACTATGTTTAAGTTATGATGGGATTTAAAATAACTAATAGCCGTTTTTACAGGGCAGTTGAAATTGCCATGTTTAGAAACAGGCGGGAGACCAGTTTATTAATTTTAGACTACTATCTTTATTACCTATGTCAGGTTATATGTTAACTGCGTTGACTGCACTAACTGTTTGAGCGGATTACTGTTTTTGGATACAATTCTACCGCTTTTCTCACTAAGGCAATACTCATGTGATTACTGTTGCTCATTAATCTAAATTAATTAATACAAAAACTGTAGTATCATTCTTCATTTTACTAGCCTTGTTATCATTTATGATAGTAGCTGTTATGTTATGTGAGTGTTTCTCCAGACAGAAATTATGCCTTCTCATGATGCACACAAAAATTATCATGTTATAGTATGTAGGATTGTTGTGTCTGACTGTGTTTTGAATTCACTCTACACTTCTTATCTTCAAAAACAACAGGGAGTGATATCATCATTACTAACTAACTAATGCACTTACAAGTAAACTAATATTGAGGTCATAAAATGTGTCAAATAAGCTTTCGTACAGAAACCAATCTTAAACACATTATCTGCTTTAGAATGCTTGATGTCTGACTAGTATATAGCTAGTAAGCAAAACATTCTAGACAAATAAAATTTTTGTCTGTGTGATAAATGTCTCATAATATATGAAAATTCGAATCAATATTTGAGCCTTAGTGGATTTTCTAATTGGTAGAAAACCAATATAATAAAAGCTGAAATCTTCCCTTCACTCTACACCCAGTTCTAAATAGATGTAGTTGTATTTAGTATGAATATGTTGAAAAACGAACATTAGTTTAAGATCAGGAAGTAGTAAGCGGACAATACAATTTGAACTCCCAACAAAAAGATAACAAGTAGGTCTATCCACGTTGTTGCTAGTTTCTTTTAACAAAGCTCTTTGCATCCTTTAACCATAGCGACCATCTAGCCAACACTTTTACACACAGCTATGACAAGTTCTAAAAGCTCCAAGAACCGCGATCATTTATTGGTCCGACTACCTTAAGGCTTCTGTAATTTTGCCACTCAATAGATCTTACGATATGTGAAAAATGCTTGGAATACATAATTTTACGGACATCTGTAGTCTTCTAACATCTTTTTGCCACTAACTCGTCTGACTTCGCAAAACTGTTAATCTTGCACTCAAAATATATTCTAATATCCTATGTAACAGGTGTATTAGGAAAAATCAGAACTGTGGATTGCACACTACATCATATAATTTAATACTGTTAGGATAGTCGGAAAAATATACCAATAATTATCGTGTTAAGTCTATGGTGTCCTTGGACCTTAAATGTACATTTCTTATTGGTCGATGTTTATTTCACTTGTTAAATATTTTGTAAATGTTGTTTCCTATTTTATGGTACGATGTGGTGTGCTTGATTGGTATATAAACAAAGTATGTCTGAAATACAACGATTCATAACTCAGAGGCTGTGACTTGCGTTCTTCACTCAACTGGCTGGGACAGACAGCGAAGCGGGACCAATCAGGGCACCAGGTCGTTCATACGTGTTTTCCGTGTCCACTGTACTTCGATCGATAAATACGCTGCTTATCAAAACCTGCAGTCCACACACGCGTTACAACAAATACAAAAGAAAAAAATGAACTTAATAAAACTAACAAGCATTCGCTAAGGTCTACTTACAGATGCATCCAACCATTCGCCTGTGTGACTGTGAAGGAATAAGATTAGGAGAGGACTTTGAATTTTCTATAGGGATCCTTATGCGTTTAACCTCAAAGGGATCCTTTAACATGAACAAATGTTAAATGAATGTATTTTTGTTCATTACCTGTTCCACAACTATTTTCGATACTAATTCAAAGTCTTTTGCATTCACAGCTTCATTAAGCAGTGGAAAATCAGAAACTAAAATACTAGATTAAAAATAAGCATAGGTTACCAACGCAGTTTTCTGATGATTCATTTGCATCTGACTTAGTCGTAAAAAGTCTTAAGTAGCACGAACCAACATAGCTTCTTATTAACGGGATAGACCTTACAACATTAATCCGAGAGTACGCGAACATCATCCAACTTTTACTGATGGGAGTACATATGTGTGCTAAATTTAAGACAAAAGATATTTATGAACGAATTAGATAAATTCTACATAAGTTGAAACGTTGTCGTCAACCTCTGCGTCAATACCTGTTGGTAGTGGGTTCTCGGTCGAACAAGTAACATTGGCAACTCAAGTCTGTTCTAGATTTGCAAAACTACATGTTGTTACGCAGAGCATGTCATCAGCAGTATTAGGCTCGAGTGCCAATGTTATGCTTATATAGCCGCTAGCCCTGTCCTATCTAAACGATCTCGAGTTACTGACCGGTCGAAAGTTGGATGCTACCACCGACTACGAATACTGTCTTTCTGAAACCACGTATATCACTCAAACTGGCCTCCTTCAATGTTCGCACACTAATGGAGATCGGACAACACATAGGGCTGGCTGTCTTTAGAAAGTCTTAATATCGATATCTGTTGTCTACCGACACCCGTATTCAAGACTCTAATGAAGTACTACAAATTCGCTCTCCATCTGTCGCTTTGAAAAGATTGTTTTACGTGCGTTTATCTGGTTTTGCTGGCGTTCGTGTCGCACTATGCGCTAGAGCTGAGACAGCACTGATCGGTTGGATCCCATTAATAATCCGTTATGTGCTATTAGATTAGAAAATTCCATCAAAGCGAGAAGAAATCCGTGTGAGAAACGATGTCGTTTCATCGTCTCCGCCTACGCTCCGACAGATTGCAACCTGGATGCGATCAAGAATGGGTTTTACTACTAGCCAAATGTTCTACAGAAAGTGCGTTCAACAGATATTGTAGTATTAGCCGGAGACTTGAATGCTCAGGTCGGGCGTCTAGGCATAGACGAGAGTCCTTTAGGTGGTCAGTGGGGGCCTGTTGATCGATCAGAGAACAGTGACCTTCTACTACAACTGTGAGCAGACCACAACCTCGTTCTGGCTAGCACTAACTACCGGCATAGTCATCGCCGATGTTCTGCCTGGCGTCCTCCCTCTGCATCTCAAGCCTGGACCCAGATTGACCACACCGCGATCATCTACTGATGGTGTGGTTGTGTACAAGATTGCCAGTGCTTTTGGAGTACCTATCTGGACTCTGATCATGCCCTTGTTTGCGCTAACCTTACCTTACATTTTAGTGGCTAAAAAATTCATCATCTTAAGCGGTTTGATTTCAGTAAGTTGGTTACAGCTTCTGTCGCAACTAAATATCAAACCGAGTTAGGTTCAAGTCTAGCTACCAGTCCAATTATGAGAGATAAACGTAACTTCTTTAACTGAAAGAATTCTTTCTGGTTGTATTTCTGCTAACTAAATTGCATTTCTCATTATTATTATTATTTTATTCTCATACACTAATTTATGCTCGTTGTTGTTCTCCTTTTTCTGATACACACGTTACATTCTCTATTTCTTCACAGCCTCATTGTTATTGTGTGGAGCATATGTATTTGGTGCCTCCTTTGTACCAATGTTTCTGTTCAAATAAGTAACAAATAATAATTCATGTAACGGTCTAAGTCAAATACGAGTGATAATCCATGGAGACTTGCTATTGGATTACCAAGTACACATTCCCCTTTATCACCTGAAGGACTGAGAACATCGGATACGTGTCTTCAACAATAAAAAAGGAGGAATCTTTAAGTTCACTAAGTTTTTTTGCTATGAATTTACATTTCAGATGGCCATAGTGAGGCGGTTAATAGATGATCATTCAAAAACTTCCATGCGCCATATTTTTTCATACGTCATGAAAACTGAAGTGCCCAGCTACTTAACACTATTTGGCACTACATCTAAGAGATCTTCAAAACTGCAGGCTTCATGACAGCAAGCAAAGTAAGACCGTACCGTCTTATTCTTAATTATTAGGAGCATTACCACGCTTTTAATCATCAACTGTCACAGAAAAATGCCTTGAAAAATTGTATGACATCGCAACGCAAGTTTCTTTCCGTGATATTATTGATAAGCTTAAAAAAAAGTTGTCGAAGAAGGAAAGATAATGTAAGTAGTAATTTGATGTGATAACTTTTGATAGATGTTTTATATGCACAGTGTTCAGTGTTAACGAGTTTTACCTTATGCTGCCTGTTGTTGGTAATAAAAATATTGAAGTGTAAAATTATTTTAAAGGTTTGACTTTAATTAAATTTTACAATTCACAGGACGATCAGTGCGATTCTGAATAACAGCATTGATGTACTAATGGGCGTTACTGTTTCTCGAAATTGTTTGGGGCAGGTACATGAGGGCTTTAGAACTTAGTTATGGTTTGCTCGCTTCGGAATTCCATCGGTTGGTCGGGTATGATTTCGTTAATGGTTTTACGCGGTTAAAACGCTGTAAAGCGGGCTGTGATACCCTGAGAAACACAGGACCATTTGTGAGTAAACTGGTTTAATGACTTTGCTGTTCAATGATTGTATATTAATACTGGTATCGTATTCCGTTAGAATTGATTCATACCTTTATTTCTACGTACTAATTCTTTCTTCCTGCATCATATCCTTATATGCAATCTTTCTTTTACATATTACCACCATTAAATTAACTACTATGAATTCGGTGTTCATCTTGTGCTAATGAGGTATGGCAACTTGGACCGATGAATATATGCGTATGGTCCTACGTTGTAGCTGACTGACTGACGTTTGATTTTCCTGGATGGAAAAATTATGGCGATTATATTTGATTTCAGCTGCGTCCAATTTTGGGACGACTTTAAAGTCGTAGTATCAAGAATTTGTAGTGTTAGCACGAATGTTCCTTTTTGACTGCAGTGAGATCCCCATCTTTGGGGTCGATCCCTTAACTTTTTATGACTCTAGTTGTATTGAGTAACAGTCAGTCGGTCAGCTACAACGTAGGACCAGGCACATATATACATTGGTCCAAGTTGCCACACCTCATCAGCACAACAAGATGAACACCAAATTCATAAAAGCAGTTACTTTAATGGTCATAATATATAAAAATATTGCATATAAGGATATGATGCAGGGAGAAAGAATTGGATCGTAGAAATAAAGGTATAAAGCAATTTTAATCTCATGGTTTAAGGAAAGACAAAGAGTGTATAAACCTATGCCATTGTAGTCGATTCTCAGTCATGTCACCCAGGGTCTCCAACCATTGATTACGATAGTTGTGCGCACTCCAACCAAGTAATCTGAATCTACCAGCATGGTTTAGATTAGAAGTTGTTGACTCCAAGGACTGATGCCACGTTTTGGTTTGGCCGCCCCTAACTTTCTTCCGTCCGTCTGCAACACCATTCAGTGATAGCTGGTGCCCAGGCATACATAACACGTAGCCTAATCATCTCAGTCGGTGAAGATTTACAACCTCATCGACTGATTCGCCATCACTCCCCTGATTTTCTCGTATTTACAGTTAACGAGTCTTTGTCAGGCGCCGGATAATTAATGTAGATGCTATATTAGTTCAACTAATCCGTCTATGGTTATCACAGAATGATTTTGATTCTTTCCTATATATTGGGACGATCAGTCAGATGGGGTGCGTGCTCGTATTAGAGCGTGATCAGAGTCTAAGTATGTACTCCGGAACGAGTGGCTGCCTTTTATCGAGCTTCTTCAACGATAACTGATAGCAATATGGTCTATTTGTTGTTAAAGGTATGAAGACAATTATCACTTCCCAGTTTCGCACACCGTAGAAGGGTTCTTCTAGAGGAACTTGAAAAGGATATTGGGTTAGAGTTGGTCTTAGTGACCTGAGAGCGTGATTGCAATGCCCAAGGCACAACTGCTTAAGGCCAGTCACACACGACCTTTTTGTGGTTAATTTTTGTGCTAGTTCCGTATTTGTTGAAATTTTACTGCCAGAGATGGATATCCGTGGGATAAGGCGAGGTGTGTATTTTTAGGGTCAAACTTTTATAACCACACTCTACCTTTGTGGGAAGGCAGCATCGCTGTTATGCTGGCTGTCTGGGGAAAACGCCTTACTTCCATCACGCCTGTACAGTCAGCAGTACTACTTCACCTTTGGACCTTAAGTTTGCTGCTTTTAGTCTTACTGTTTCTCAACCTATCTGCTTGGCATTGTAGGACATTGAGGAACGAATGTCCCAGCCAGTATAGCCCAATTGGTTCATCACGCTAGGCAAGACCGACCATCACGAGAAGGTAACAACAACGGTGGGTGGACATTCAGTACTTTGGTAGTATGTCTAAAATTCATTTTCAGAGATAGTGAACCAGTAATATTTTTACTTAATACATCACCTAACCAGTGCTCTTCTCTAGGGTCCCGGTAACTTGATAGTATTTCTTAGTTGGTTATAGATATACTGCACATCTCAGGTGAAGGGCAATATAGTTCTGGATAATGTTGCGAATAACCTCATTGTCGGATGAAATATTAAAATCTTGTTGTAGCAGAAGTCGAGCTGCATATCCACACAGAAGAAGAACACGATCAGAACGACAGTAACGAAAACCAATGTATTTATCTAAGCAACGTAAATGTGGTTATATGCAATATCAAATACATGCAGTAAGTAACTGAGTGGCAATCAAAATTACCAAACAGTCCGGTGAAGTCATATTAATTCTGACTTATTCTCCACCCTATAATCTCGATATGCTAAGACCAACTAGTCCAACCCATATTCCTTCGGTATTCGAAAGAATTTTTTAACGCTTCTGTTTCTTAATCGGTGAGAAGACAATAGAATAATTAAGTTTGACAGTTTAGAAACGCCAAGAGTTCAATAAGAAATACCCGAACTCGAGCACACCAGATTGGTATCTTTATCTAACACTTGTTTGGATGTCATGAAAACAAATAGAGGATTGAAGGCAAACGACTCCTTGAAATAAACAGCTTTGTGGAAATTCAAAACTGATGCATACCTAGTTAGACTATTATAAGGCGATAGATCAAGCATCACAGACAAACAATACGATGATCTACCAAGAAATATTTTTTTGGGGGAGTTTTGTTCTCCACCAAAATCATCCACCTGAGCTACAAATCTTCTCCACCATACCAAGAAATATTGTTTTCATCTGTTTGACCTGTGTTTAAATTCGGTGTATTTCTTTTGAAACTGGACAGGTTTAACAAGGTCGATCCCTTCGAGAACATTCAAGAAATTCATGAGACAAGACCCCTGCAATTATATTGATTACGCCAGAAATATACTGCTTGAAAAAATTAACTGACTTTCAGTGGATAAGTAAACGGACCTACTGAGACTTGCTCAGAGATTAAATTTAGAATACAGTATACAAAGTCCAGATAAGAATATTACTGTTGTCATATATAGAAAGGAAATTCATGATATAAGGACCAATTAGTTGCACGAAAATTCAAACCTATAGGTTATGTATAACTATAATTATACAATGTATAACAGGGGGTACAGATCCTACATTATTCCTGTTTTGGAAATGTCTCTTTAAGTTTACGTAGCGTCAAATGATCCCAAAAATATATAGTTTTGTAAGTCATTAATGTTAAAGTAATCCAGTTTTTAAGATTTTGGAGGAGAGCACTTGTATGCAGACGATCTAGGAGGCCTGTGATCACAAAGAAAGGTAGATTTTCATCCCTACACATAATGTTGTAAGCACTGTGAATCACAACGTTCCTTAAGCTATACACAAAACTACTTGTACATCATAAATTGTCAGTGACTTACACTTCAACCCGAAGAACAATGCTATCTTACAAGCTCGTGCGCTTTGATTGACCTTGAGGCACCAACACGGGCGGAACAGGAGAAACTTTCGCTTCAAATGGTTCAAATGGTTGTGGACGGAATAGAAGAAGCTTTCGCTTAACAGGCTTCCGTGTCTAGTAGCAGGGGATCACCAAATCCAGGTAGGAACCTAGATATTTTAACAATAAAAGAGGAAAAGAAATCAGTAAATCATGGTGTGATACTATCCTTAGTCCTTAAGAATAGATCAAGTTGCCTCTTAAACGACCCCTGGGAAGTCGCTTGGACTAGCTCGGCCGGCAGAGAATTCCAGAATTTCACAACTCCTAGGGAGTGGAAGTTGTGTCTACAGTCCGTTCTGCTATGTTGTGTCTCCAGTTTTCGGGTGTTACCTCTTAGGTTAGTGTTGGAACTTAGCTTAAGTAGGTGTTTGAGAGGATGTTCAGGAGTGTTAAGGATACTATAAGCCATCAGAAGGTCACCTCTAAGACGTCTATACTCTAATGGGTAAAGGTTAATTGAATGGTGGCGCTCTTCGTAAAGTTTAAATTTGAGTCCTCGAACTGATTTCGTGGCTCTCCGATGGATACGCTCCAGAGTGTCCTTATCCTTTTGGAGTGACGGGGAAAATACTATGCTTCCGTACTCTAAATGGGGACGGATAAAACTATTGAAGATTATGTGGAAAGTTCTTCCGTCAAACTGGCCAAAAATGCTCTTCAATGTTACCAGTGCAAGGTTTGCTCGGATGGAATTTTTGTCACAGTTAGCGAAGACTTTAAATCGTTGGGCACCAGGACTCCTAAATCTTTTCCGACTTGGGATGCTACTAGAGAGGAGTTACCTAAGTTATAACTGTAGTCTGCGACATGTCGCAGATGGACTACTTTACACTTTGAAGTGTTAAAGGTAAGTCCGTTATCGTCTGCCCAACTTTGAAGTCGAGTCAGATCCTCCTGAAGTGCCTGTATATCGTCTTGGTTGCGTATCTCTCTCCAAAGTTTCACGTCGTCGGCAAAAAGTACTTGACGATAGAGTAAAAATATTAGTGAATTATGGTGACTGTGTTGGGTCCTTAACAATATGTCAAGTTTCCCTTTAAAGGACTCCTGAGAAGTCGTCAGGACTACTTCGGCCTGCAGGGAATTCTAGTATCCTGATCCGTTTCAACAACAATCAACACACATCAATAAATCTTACGACATGGGTTGGCCTATGCGGTGGTGATCGCACTGTCATCCTTGTACCTACTCTTACTAATATGCTCCTGTAATAACGTCCTTTGTGTCATATGGTCTTCAAAACAATCATAGTACAACGAAGGGTTAATCCGCGTTAGGTGCTAACCGCGAAGTATTACTTAGAAGTAAACTGATTCGTCACACCGTTCCCGTCTAACTCGAGAAGGCCCCCAATCGTTCGACACATATCATCTACGTTAGTGATCTACAGCAGCAACACTCGATCTTTTTCAACCTTGGATACCTCTAGAAGGGAGTTACCTGAGTTATGTGCAAGGTATGTAATATGTCTCAGATGGACTACTTTACACTTTTCATTGTCGGACGCCAGTCCGCTGTTATCCGCCGAACTTAGAATTGCTGTTAGGCCCTCCGGAAATTCCAGCTTGTCATGTTGGTTGTAAACTTCCCTCCAGAGTTTCATGTCGTCAGTGAAAAACAATATGCCAAACGATACTTTGTGCACGAGAAGAACTTTACCCTGACATTAAAAAAATCGATTATCTGAATATAAAGTGACTTAATCAATTAACAGTGGCGTAGTACCTAACCGTTTGGACTTACTGACAAGGCATATATGGTTGACTTATCAGAAGCCCTCGTGACGTCAGTGTATATAACATCAACTTTTCCCTTGCTATCTAGAATGATCATACATCTGCCCACTGTGGTCGGAAGGTTGGTTATACAGGAGTAGCCCTACCTGAGATTGTGCTTTTAGAATGAAAAGAAGTTTTCGGTTAGTAAGTATCCACGTACACCATGGTATATCACTGACTCCACATTTTTTGAAGATACTGAGGGAAGCGCTACCGTTCGATAGCTTGACAGTTCACTGCACCGGCCTCCTTCGGCGATTAGTGCAATGTGAACCAGCTTCCGATTTTCTCGTACTGTGCCCTGGCTTAGCGAATATAGGAACACCGTGCTAAGCGCTGTTGCCAAGACTATAGTCTCTTCTCTCAACATAACCGAATGGACCATACCCGTGCCTGGAGAAGTGTGCTTGTTTGAATTCCCCAGTTTCTGACACACCTGATCATCACTCAAGTTCACTTCCGAGAGTATTGATGAGTTGTACTGAGCCTCTTGTCGATGTAGTTATTATCAGACGTTTGAAATGTTTGAAAAGACTGTACTGATAGAAAGTTGGCGGCGTCATAATCGTTATTGGTTAGGCCAACAGGACCTACCACTTGGGAAACTCAGATTTCGGCTTGTCAGAGAATGGCATCATGAAAGAATAAGCTTTTTGGACTGGCGATAAATTTGTCGATTGGCTTTATCTGGTAATGAAGCCTGCCTTCTCTTATCATTTTTGTGGACTGGTTCCTTGCTTTTTTGAACTGTCAATGTGTTGTCGTCGCTAATTTATATTCCATCTAGTAGTGCATTCTGCGTCTCAGCATTCAAAGAGTTATGGAGAGGCGGATTTTCACAGGCTCACTGTGCTCAGGCTGTACGCACAGTTGCTAGAAGTAGCAAAGAGATTACAGCACTAGTTCAGCGGGTATGTCATAATTAATGTGTTTGCAAGTCATGTCTCGGGACCACAAAAAGCTCTGATAGGCTTCCTCTACACTTGGAGGCCCGCAGAAAAAGGTCAGATGGACTCTTCGACAGTAGGGAATTACGAGATGGCGGGGCAACAGAAACACCCTCTTCGTCTAAGCTTACTCAATATATTTAAGGGAATTTGGTTTGGTTCAAAACAACGCCCTTGATGATCTAGCATCACATGCCAATATGATTCAAGAGATCACGAAAAATCCTAGCACTAAGATTCATTCAGTCAAGACCCGTCTGACTCCATATGAAATATACTAGCTATTTTATTCGATCTTCGAAATAACTTCGTTCAGTCTACAAATCCCCGGAAAGGCGCATCACGAGGAATATCTTTATTCAAACTACGAGAATCAAACGATACTTCTTACTGTTGACACCACGGCATATACAGGAAATTGTCTCCCACCTACGGAGAGCTTTGTGGTTCTTCTAACTTACAACCTACTGTAGCACTGACTAATCCCCTGCGAAACGTCCTCAACGACACTCGTTAACGACAGCCATACCTTACAGATAACGTCATCTGCTACATATCACAGATTTGAGTACGTATAAGCATTATATTTCCTATTATCTTATACTGAATGTTCAGAAACGTTGTTTGTATGAACAGGTAATCCCACGTTCCACTGTGACTGCGCGAAGGTGTAAATAAAGACCTACTCACTACTAGTTTTGTTTCTTCTATCAATAGCACGAGGGTCACCTATGGGCACGAAAGATTCACTATCCCGTCAACAACATTAGTTTCCCTCCTGTTGATTTGAACGAGTGGTTAGGAAACGAGTTTTCGCCCTACGAGTGCCAAGTTGATAAACGATCACCAAACACTTCAAGAGATATATTTGCTTGAATACGAATTTACGGAAACCTGCTCACTGGTTCTTCGTTATTGCAGATATGTTGATGCCAACAACTAACATATGCGAAGACTCAAGTAATTTTTTCCAGAAGCCATCCAAAGGTCAAAAATCATCAGCAGCCTCACACTGTCAAGTTGAGTTTACATTTGAGATAAGAGAATATATAAACTTGATTATTATGGAAGGGTAGACAGCTTATCATAGTTCTTTCCTAGTTAACTACAGTGAATACCTGGTCTTCTCTTGAACGAATCACTGAAAATAAGGACACCACTTCCTTTAGCAACGCGTTCCAATAGTTCCAAGAGACTTGGCTCGAAAACTTGTGTGTCATTAGTATTTTGTTTGCTTTTGGATTCCGATATCATCTGCTACGTTCTATGATTTGTCCTGATCTTAAGAAGAAGAGGAAAGGATCTGTTAGGTACAAAATCATTCCTTAGTATTCAATACATCAGAATCAGATCACCTTTTAATCCGCCGTAAAATAGAGTAGAGAGACAAAACTTTTCAAGATGCTCCGTATATGGTAAACATCAAATTTCAAGAAATGAACGGGTAACTGTCTCCCGTAACTTTCCCAAGATGTCTGAGATGCCCTTTAAACAACAGATTGCAGCCTGAACGCAGTTTTCAAGTTTGCTTCTCACTAAGGTTTTATATACGATAGCGAACATACTTGTATCCAACTTCAGGAATGTTCATTCTAAGCTAAAAATGTGTGGACAGAGTAGCTGTAACTGCATGGCAGTAGGCAGTCGAATAATCATATTGTTAATGATGCAGGATCATACATATAATAACTTCAATGAAAAGTAAATCGTAATCGAACTCAAATAATAAAAATACAAACAAAGAAGACTGAGAAACCTAAAAGGTAGTTTTGGGAGTCCTGAGTGAAAACCTAAGTACAAGATAGGAAGAAAGATCAAACAATAACAGTATTATCTGACAAAAAACACATTGGGACGATTTTCAGAGCACTTCTTCTTATGAACCTTGATCGGGTAAAACATGTCAACTATTTATAATTCCAGTCGATTACTTACTTACTTACTTACTTACGCCTGTTACTCCTCGTGAAGGAGCATAGGCCACTCACCAGCATTCTCCATCCAACCCTGTCCTGGGCAATCCTTTCTAGCTCCTTCCAGTTGTAATTCATCCTTTTCATATCTGCTTCTATTATCCGACGCAATGTGTTCTTTGGCCTTCCTCTTTTTCGCTTCCCTTCAGGATTCCAAGTTAGGGCTTGCCTCGTGATGCAGTTTGACGATTTGCGTAATGTATGTCCTATCCATTTCCATCGTCTTTTCCTAATTTCTTCTTCACTTGGAAGTTCGTTTGTTCTCTCCCACAGAAGGCTATTGCTGATGGTATCCGGCCAGTGGATGTTGAGTATCTTGCGTAGGCAGCTATTTATAAATACTT